ATATATAAACAGCGATTCGTTCAATCATTTTAATGAAACCAACTTTAACGAGTCTATAGGCACAGAGTTATCCAAATCGCTGATTTACCTACTTTGCAAGAATATGAAACCATTATAGATTCACTACTGATTCTCCATTGTTCCCCTTTTACCCGAACCATGTAATACAACCCAAGCAACATCAATAAATCCTCAAACACAAGTATCAATATCTGCAATCACAATACAATACATCTAATCCACCTCATGCTCAATATTGGCGTCCATCATCTCAATTGATAAAGAAATTACGCTTACTTCGCAGTTTCCTGTACTCCGTGTTGTTATTGTGGCGGATTGCTTTATCCGCTTAGCTGTGTGGGTCCACAGAGATTCAAACTCACCTTTTCCTTTCGAAGAATTATACCCGAATGTCGCTTTACTCGAAAATATGCTTCATGCCGAGATTGTCGTAATCCTCCACGCAAACGATGCCTCAAACTCCCCCACAAATCCAAATCGTACCTTACGGGAAAAGAAAATATCTTTCTCCAGTCTTCCTCCATTCAAGTCTCGGACAAACTGGCAATGTTTCTTTATTTAGCGAATATCGCTCTCTATTCTGGTATGCTAGGTGCATTTCTCTCGAAAATGATGAAATCAACATAGATTCACCTGAAAATCGTTGGTATCATTGTTGTGTCCGCGTTTGGGACCTGTCTCAGTTCGGAACCCAGTCACTCAGTCCAGAACTGAGACAGGTCCCTAAATGAGGTACAACATTATTCTTCATTGCCAGCAACCTGTAAGTGGTTACAACAATATAACCCTTATCTGCATGCATATCATTATATCGCAACACAGAATCTAATATTCCCGTGCTAATCACACTGATGCAAGTTTCCATACGCCATCAAATACTCGCATTGAAATACACAATGAGGAGCGTTATTACAAAATATGCGAGACTTCAAGAACGTGCGCAACAGATCCCATTTGGTAATCAGCCGCACAATTAATGACATGAAATTTTACAATAAGGCGTTTTCATTTTATTTTTAAGTAAACTCATTTCGGCTAAACAATTATGTGTCGTAATATATTTCGCTAGTGTTACCATTAATGTGAGAAATATTTTTATAAGAATTACTAATACCTCCACAGTATATATTCTGACCAAAACACCATTCCCCCAACAAATAAAAACCACACATACACGAAATTTTCTTCACAGAAAATTATAAGAATTACTAATACCTCTACAAGTATATATTCCGACCGAAACACCATTCCCCCAACAAACAAAACACACAATCAAGAAATTACCAAGACGTCCCTTATAGAAAAAAAGTTCATACACCTCGACACCACTTGTCTAGTAAAACAAATAACCGAGACAACAGCTCACGAATATCTCATAGTTCAATGTGTTGCGTCTGCGTACAATTTCGTATGTACGCATATAAAACTATTAATCAAAATTTTCATTCTCTGTGCAAGCACCCCTATACAAACCGTCCAAAGACGATATAATAAGAATGTTTGGTTCAATAACAAACATCACGAAAGACGACATATGTGAGGTGTGTTATATCATTGGTATAAATTTATATATGGTTAATTTACTGTAATACGATCTTCAGGTACGGCATACAGATGCCAAAACACACATTATGATACTAAATCCTCCCACAGAATTTCACTCACATTATCTGCTTTGGGTATTTTAAAAGATCAGCCAATTTGTTAGAAAAGATGCAAACGGTCTGAAATGGTTCGAAATCAATATTTTTTGTTCTCATCATACGAACATATCAAAGACTTATGGGCAAAAGTTCATCGGCAAAAAAAGGATCGAAATTAATAATCGCCGGAGAATTAGAGATCAACGAAAGCCAGGTATTGTGAAATCCATCATTTCGATTTCGTGTCTCAGATAGGAACCAAAACCGAAAGCATAAAGAGAAACCTGGCAATTTGGATCGAAGATAACGATGACAAAAAAAACAGACATGCTCAATACAAAAAGGCAAAACCTGCCGAAGAACATGCTCCGTCTCAATCTATAATTCCTTTGCCATCAAGCATAGAAGATCATTTAGTCCCTTTTATTGAAAGCCTAGATGATGAAAAAACTTATGTCTTTCAAGATGATAATGTTCCTGTTCATAGGGCTAACTTGGTACTTGCCTGAAAAGACGAAAATTTGATATCTTCTCTTCCATGGCCTGCTCAGAGCCCAGATCTCAATCCAATTGAGCATTTGTGGGATCATCTTGGAAGAAAATTGCATGAACACAAACCCATACCAAGAAATAAGAGAGAATTAGCTTCAGTTTTGGAGGAGGAGTGGGTGAAAATTGAGGTAAATAGCATGCCTCAAAGAGTTAAAGCTGTAATTGATAGTGGAGGAAACCCCACAATGTATTAGTACTATAAATAAAAAGTTCATAACAAGAGCATTTCAAAAATATAAATTTCATTAAAAGTTGTTAATACAGTTATTGAGAAAACTTGATTTGAATGTTTGATAAATTTTTCGAAATAATTTAGATCATCAAAAGTGTCAACTACTTTTGGCAGGGGAGTGTAGTTATGCAAATAGTAATTTGTTCATCAATCAAAGAAACAACAGTTAAATGTGAGAATATAAATCCAATAAATTGCTTAGTGTGACTAATAAACAGCACAAAAATCGTAACTTTACAAACAGCAGAATCCTAACCAGCCACGTTTGCAGCTATTCTTCTGTTAAATGCATATACCGGGGTTATTATTTGAGAATATCTCATATTTATTACTGATACCTTGACAAAGTAGCATCGATGTTAAAGTAACCATGTTGAATAGCTTTACTACGAAGAAATAATTTCTGTCGATGTTATTAATAAGCACTATATAATTTTTTAGCACAAGTGTCTTTTATGTGCGGCTTTCGCTATTACATATTACAATATTATATCATATCCAAAGACCCAAGAAGATTCATGTGTTCTTCTCACACATACGGTATTACATACTTTGAGAATACAGTATACTTTTCTCACACCTGACAAACCTTGTTTATTCAAGGTTCACTTCTATTCTTAGAATCTCGCTTCAACGTCTGAAAGGCACCAATAATAGTTACGAGTTTATTAGTATTAGGGAGAAAAAAGAAAAGGACAGTAAAACAGTGGGAGATTTATTATCGAGCAAGAGTTATCAACCATGAAAACTAAAATTGATGATGTCGGATCAATCTACGAGGGAGAGTGTTCGTATATTGACCTTAAGATCTAGCCGTTTTAACGAGGCTTCTGACTACTTCTACTTTTTGCTAAACCTATAAACGAAGAATTTTCTCTAACCAACGATAATTCTGATGTCAAAAGATTTCAATGAAATCGAAGACAAGTTCGATTTCGTATATTGCCGATACGGAAACCCGATTTGCACTTAACCAGCGATAGAAATCTACCAGGGAATAAATTAGAATATGAAGAACTATTCTAATGCAAAGTATTATTTGATTAAGAACAATATTCGAACGAAAAGATGAATTGAGATGCTGAAGATACTGATTGCATACCTTTCTATAGTTTCATTAAACTAATTGTTGTCAAGATTTTTCGATAAAGCGAGATAATCAGAATTTTCTCGGCATGCTGCGTCTGTCACGAATTCCGCAGCTTCTGCGCTTGTATTACTCATGTCCGGATTCCCGTATCACCGACAACGGAAATCACGGAGAATATGGCGGCATAATTATGTTATACTGAACAATTTGACCCACCAAATCAATCCTGAACAATTCGGTTAACTGGACAATGTCCCGGAATGAACCACAGACTGATGCACTTGAATTGAGAAATAGTGGGGCAGACTATTTGATGCTTGGTCAATATGAAAATGCTTTGAAGCATTTTACAAAATCTTTGAAATATGAACCAAATAATACATTAGCATTGAGACTATTAGTAGATACCTACTATATGCTAATTCTTAATCAGTATGTGAATATATTAGATATGAATGGTTACAAAATTGGAGCTGCAGGAGCAACAACTTTGGCAAAGGCTCTAGAATCAAATTCCTCTCTGACTTCTTTGAATTTCCAGCATAATCAAATTGGAGATACAGGAACAACAGCTTTGGCAAAGGCTCTAGAATCAAATTTCTCTTTGACTTCTTTGAATCTCTACCATAATCAAATTGGAGATACAGGAGCAACAGCTTTGGCAAAGGCTCTAGAATCAAATTCCTCTCTGATTTCTTTAAATCTCAGATATAATCAAATTGGAGATACAGGAGCAACAGCTTTGGCAAAGGTTCTAGAATCAAATTCCTCTCTGACTTCTTTGAATCTCAGATATAATAAAATTGGAGATACAGGAGCAACAGCTTTGGCAAAGGCTTTAGAATCAAATTCCTCTCTTATTCTGGCTTCCTTGGATCTTCAGGATAATCAAATTGGAGATACAGGAGCAACAGCTTTGGCAAAGGCTCTAGAATCAAATTCCTCTCTGACTTCTGTGAATCTTCAGGGTAATCAAATTGGAGCTACAGGAGCAACAGCTTTGGCAAAGGCTCTAGAATTAAATTTTTCTTTGACTTCTTTGAATCTCTACCATAATCAAATTAGTGCAACAGGAGCAACAGCTTTGGCAAAGGCTTTAGAATCAAATTCCTCACTGACTTCTTTGAATTTCTGGGGTAATAAAATTGGAGATACAGGAGCAACAGCTTTGGCAAAGACTCTAGAATCAAATTCCCCTCTGACTTCTTTGGATCTCCATCATAATCAAATTGGAGATACTAATACAAGAACAACAACTTTGGCAAAGGCTCTAGAATCAAATTTCTCTTTGACTTTTTTGAAACTCTACCATAATCAAATTGGAGATACAGAAGCAACAACTTTGGCAAAGGCTTTAGAATCAAATTCCTCTCTGACTTCTTTGAATTTCTATTATAATCAAATTGGAGATACAGGAGCAACAGCTTTGGCAAAGGTTCTAGAATCAAATTTCTCTTTAACTTCTTTGAATTTCTATTATAATCAAATTGGAGATACAGGAGCAACAGCTTTGGCAGAGGTTCTAGAATCAAATTTCTCTTTAACTTCTTTGAATCTCTACCATAATCAAATTGGAGATACAGGAGCAACAGCATTGGCAAAGGCTCTAGAATCAAATTCCTCTCTGACTTCTTTGGATCTCCAGAATAATCAAATTGGAGATACAGGAGCAACAGCTTTGGCAAAGGCTCTAGAATCAAATTCCTCTCTGACTTTTTTGAATCTTCAGTATAATCAAATTGGAGATACCGGAGCAACAACTTTGGCAAAGGCTCTAAAATCAAATTCCTCTTTGATTCTTAAATTATAAAATCAAGTCTACTCAAATTTTTCAATGTTGCTCGTTTTTTCAGAGATGCCTTGTCTCAGAGAGGAGCAACATAAAGAGCTATTTAGGGGAAGGTTATTGATAATTGGATATAAGATAACAAATTATTGAATTATTTGATGGTTTTGATGTTTATAGTTAATAGGTTCGATATTTTGGAAAAGCAAAAATATGATTTTTTGTTATATTCAGGGGTTTCAGATAGTATTAGTATGGTTATGGTTACCACTAATAGATTATCCACCTGAGTGTATCTGCATTATATACATTATCTAAACAATACTTGCCAATTGTTTTATGCAAGCAATCCTTTTTTTCTGGTAATATTGCTAACACCAATGACATGCTGTTTGTCTCTCTTGTAATTTAATCCGACTCCCAGGCATCTATTTTTGTAAAATCTTGCCGTAAATATCGCGGATGGCGCAAATTACTCTTATCCCTTAATCTGTAGGCCAATTTTTGGCAAATTTGACACTTATTTTTGATATGCATTTTGTGAACAATATTACTACATTTTCTGTACTTTGACCATTAATAAAAATAATTTGCCTTGTTTTGGAAATTTAAATGAGTGAAACTACATGGTAAAAGAATGTGTGGTTAAATAGTAATGTGCATTTAAACAAAATTTTTTAAAATAATTTCTAGGTAAAATTTTTAAATTTTTGCAAAATCTGCTTTATTCGGGCTATAATAGGGTATCATATTTTTAGACCATATTTTTCTTTACTTTGTTGTGAGTTTAAAGAGTTAAAGATCTCAGTAAACAGATGAGCCATTAAGAAGTAATGGCCATTTGAAGACAGGCACTTATGTCTCTTAAATTCATACTTTCCCTCATACTTCCTCCCCCTGCTTTCTCTCTATCTATTTTTTGAGCTCTTACATTACTTTTAATGCTTTGTTTGTCTTCAGTGCTTTTATTATTGTTATTTTTGCTCTGGTTTATATTCATATTTAGCAATTATGTCCTCACTGAAATCTGTTTCTTCATGATGACGACTTATGACTAAATAATATTACAAGCCTAACATGACTTCAAAGTTGGTACAATAAGACATTTTTTACTAAGAATATCTACAACAGATAATCAACTAACAGTTTACAATGTTAACGTATGGGAATTATAACGTTATTAGCACCATCGGCGATTGATCGATATTAGGGTTAATGATCGGCAAGAGATTTGCAGACAGACAAGACCATATTGACCGACTCGTGTAACCAATTTTCACGTGACTTCGCATACTAATAGCTACGATTCTAAGGTTTCTAGCGAACTATATATGTTGGGGGTATTTATCTAGTGGCATCAAGTGATATAAAGCGATTTTGTTGGTGAATCCAAATTAGAGGCAAATTTGTCTCCAATACAGTTTAAGGGATAAAATCATTGATCAGCTTCATTACTCTACAATTTTTGTTATAAATCGTTTCACGTATAGATATTATTTTGTCATATCTATAATATATTTGAAAACCAACCATCTATATTATAATTTGATGGTTCCATTGGACGTCATGAGGGAATTGGCCAGACATTGTGTAAGTCAAGCAAGTCAGAAAATTCAACTGGTATTTTGTGATGGTAATGTCAGAGTAATCACATTCTTTATAATGCTCATAGGGTGATAATAACTCATTTATCTTTGTATAATAATTTGTGAATACAATCTCACTTGAGTTTTTTGAATTTCACTTTATATAATATGCATCTATTCAGAATTTTAGATATCTAATTTGCTATCATAGAAATTGTATCAGTAGTATAAACAAAAAATAAAGAATTTTAATACAGCCATTTCTTAGCAAAATTTTAAAAATTTGTAACTATGTATTTTGAATTATTCCAAATACAATTTCTTAATAAATTCTTTCCTGTTAACAATGAGGATTTTGCGCTTTTGCCGATTGAAACTCTAGGACAAAATCTGCGAAACTCCTTCGTCGACTTTGACAATCTTTTTTTTTTTTTAGCAAAGAACGATTTATAAGTGTACAAATATATGTACTGTAAAACGATACTGCGAACAAGTATGATTTGTAAAATTTTGTTTTACTCTGTGACTTTTTGTATAAGTGACAACGGTGTTCCGACTTACAGGCGAACGATACTCTAAAGTGGATTATCATGTTTTCTTAATAGTTTCGGCTTTTATATTTTTAATGCATATTTGATGTTTTCTTAACTCGCCTAATGAATCGTGTGGCTTACAGTCACGGGTCTGACGATAAATTTTTAGCAAATAATGTCCAACGAGATCGTCGTTACGTTGCCAGACCAGAAAACTTTCCAGACATTAGTATTCCCGGTCACAGAATTTCATGAAAGCTCCTGTAATATTTGTTTTTTTCTTCCACTCAGGTCAAAAAGAGTCTACCAATGTCCGAATTTTGGAAAATCCAACAACGAAAACAGAAAGAGGTCTGCAAATTTGAGTACAACGTCTTTGTACTGCAAAATGAAAAAACTACATGTACCATGCCATGAAGAAATTACTCTAAGCTTTCGTTGTGTTGTATGTTGAGGAGTGTTGTTAGTTGGGGATGGTATTCTTGTTTTTACACGCGAAATAATGCAAACACGAGTCATTTTCTATCGAGTTTAAATAAATGAGAAGGTGAATCTGATGTATACTATAAGAACGCATTGCACGTTAAAACCGACTCGTTCAATAGTGTGAAAAAAACTTTTATAAGGAATATATTAAATATGTATCAAGAATACTACAATCTCTTTAATACAGAATAAATATTAATTCGTTGCATATCTCCTTGCTCAGACAAACTGCGTTCTCTATTACTTTAATATTAATTACCAAGAGCTAACAGGAAGTAACTACATACAACATTGTACACAGAAATATAAACACATTATCGTTACCATATCTAGTTACCCTTTTCAGGATGTTAATCTGAGGCCCATGTTGTTGACAAGTAAATGTTTCAAACGGGGGGGCCATGTTCCGTATCTGTTTTTTCGCTCTCATTGCCGCCACGTGTAAATCCGCCTTTCATAAATTGCCATAGCACACCAGTCAAAATCATAACTCCGAGGCTAGTACCATAAGCGGCATAAGTATTGACAGATTCAGATGATTCACTCTTTGGTGGCACCCACGAGAGGATGACAATCGCCAACGCGAACAAAATAAAAAGAATTATGACAGTTAAAGGTGCTCTATATGTAAGTATCTCTTGCTCTCTATTTCTCCTTCGTAATACCTGTTTCAAAATTAGCAGAACGTAGACATTTCATTAATGCGAATAAGCATAATAAAATACAGCAAGTGCCATGTAGTTTTTAGTGATTAATACACATACCAATGCACCAATAGCTGCGAGGAGGAAGAAAAAGTACTCCGCGTATTGCTCGATCTTGACTAAAAATTCGAATGGACTGTTGCCTGGAGCTATCAAGGTCAATATAGAGCACCAAGCAAAGAGTGCGATAAAAGAATTTACGGGCGTCCCTAGATTGCCATTCCACCCAGTCAACCACTTAGAAATCAATGGGACGTATTTGTGCTGGCCTGCTAAATCTACCACTCTCGAAGCACTAAGTTTGATAAGATAGACGTGAATAAGACGTACTATAAGTTAAGATTGTATAATATGCGTATGATAATTTAATACAATCCCTTACCTTTGCATCAACACAGCACTAGCACCGAAAGCACTGAGAGCGATGAAAAAACTCAACGCACGCGCTTCTTTGATTTCAGTTAAGGGAACATTTTTTTGGGCGATTTGTGCGACGAAATAAATGCCTATAATTTCGTTAGGATTCGACCCCGACCCATTTCCGGTTACGCTGGTAACGTTCAGTACCGCCGTGTAAGCGAGATTAGCCAGCAGATCTGTTTGGTATAAGTTAGTTGATAAAAGTTTGAACAAAACTGTATCTTGATTAAACGATATTACTTACATAATACTGTGACTATCCCGACTGCTCCTGCATTACTTGTCAGGAGATTTTTAGAGGATTTTCCCCTATCAAATTCCTCAGTAAGATCTGGAGAAAATAAGTCAACATGTTATTAAATATGCAGATCACGAAAAACCACTCCCATTCATATTTAGTAGCTTAATTTGATGCTTACAATTGAGATTATTCCAGCCCGTGTATGCAAACAGAATCGTCAGCATTGCGGTTATATACCTTTGAATCCATTCCGTAGCGCTGATGTTCTGATAATTGGCTGAATCGGGAAAAAACGAGCCCCAATTTACGTTTTTATTTTTCTCCGTCTCCACCGATGCTTTTGCGAATGATAATCCGAGTACGACAACAGTTAATACCGTTAAGACTTTTGTCGTAACCAACGCCTGGTTGATCCTATTCGACCATTTGTTGGAAAGTGAATGGTACAGGGCTATCAACGCAATAATTGCCACTGTAGTCAACTTGAGTCTCCTATAATAAAGAAATAAGCAAATAATTCATGGATAATTTCTATTTAAAATGTCATGCGTTTGAAGATTTATTACCAAAAGTTGCGTCCATTAAAATATTGAGGATGAAAATCTTTGTATAAGTCGTCTTCGTTGCCATTTAATCCCAGAGTAAATAGCAAATATTGAGCGCAAACATTTGCCGCCGCCGATATTGCAGCGGGTCGAATTAGTCTAAAAGCAACAGTCAATATCCGATCCATTATCTATGCGAAACTGATCGATTGTTTTTTTGTACTCACATTATGTACACCATGGTAAACGAGTAGCTGAGGAGTAGATGGGGTTTCGGGAAGCTGGATTCCAGATAAGTCGTCTCCCCAGCACCAATTTGAAACTGAGCTCCCAACTAAAGACAATTTATGTATAATGTTATTGAAATCGGTTCGGAATTCATGTGATATTTTGTAAAAGATCCGCTATAGAATTTACTTAGTTGTTCGGTATTTTACTTACCTCTGTATACGTTAACGTGCCGCAAATGCTCGCGATTCCACCGACCAACCACAACAGTAAAGCTATCCACGGTGAGCCAACCATTCTCCATACTGTCCCTAGAGTGTTTAATAATCACGGTAAATTTTATGCATATAAATGTTCTGGCCCGTAGCCCGATTCGCAATAGGCACATTACAACCAATAAGCGACATCTAATCAACATTGTTTATGTTTATGTGATTGAATCGGGATACATAAATACCAAAGTACCCAAAAGTTTTTCTCTTACCAGGAGATGAAAAAATTCCTGTTAAAACAAAAATCTCTTAGTCATTGCTTCTTTGTTGAATTAGAGAGACATATAGTAAACTGCATTACCAGCACCGATCATATTATTGACATTATTGCCCAAACCACTGGCCACACCTATGAACTTTTCCCTTTGTTCCCGTTCACTCGACATATTGTGGGGCAGATGGCGAAACTACATCAATCTTGCTGCGTATTTATATCATAATGAAGGCCGCAGACTGGAATACAAAATAACGTTGGAAGAAAGTATTATTTCTAAATTTCTTTGTTTCGAGAGATTTCAATGCATAATGGTGCGGTGGAATTGGTCATATGATTAAATTCATTGGTATGAACAATAACACAACCCTTAATTTCTACAAACGTGACATAACACAACATGCTCGTGCATTAACATTCATCTGACGTTTCGGCTAGCGAAGTTTCTAACACAGCGAAATCATTGTTGCTACAAGAGACAGGAGAACATAATGTATCGTTAGCATTAGAATAATAATCAAAAGAATGAAGAGAAACGATACATAATCGTATGCGAATACAAGAATCGTACTCTGTATTTGAATCTGTGTAAGTTTATTGTAAAATTGCCTTTTCTGGTCAAATTACTGTTCTACTACAGATATGGTGATCAGCGGTAACACCAGTGCAGCTGCGGAATTCGGAACAATCACTATTTGCGAGGTACAAGCACTGTTGCAGTGTGGCACGAACATTTCAGTAATAGTGATACGAGCACTAGTCCGTCACTAAATTGTCATTACTTCATCACTAGTACAGAAACAGTGCTAAAATAGTGACGAAACAGTGATAAAATAGTGATGGAATAGTGATGGAATAGTGATGAAACGCTTCGGTTCATTCTAACTTATACTAAATAACAGTCGATAGATTAGAAGAATTAGCTGCTAAAAATAGCTCAATTAGACCGATCGAAAGATATATAAGCAGTAGGAGTTTCAGCTAGAGTCGGTGTGCTATGTTCGCAGTGTTCGCATAGTGAACTTATATTTCTTGTAATTCATATCTTATTGTTAATAAACGAGTATCGCATTTACTCTGAACCTATCCTATTCTCTAAATTAGTTGATATATCTAAGAAACCGTTATATCCGAAGGATAATTGCCTCTTGTCCCGCAATTTTCCGAGTAGCGAATTAGAATATTTAATCGTTAGCTTATTCGAACGCGTTCAATCTAAGTGATAAACCATTGTACCCCAGACGGGAGATTATTGAAGTAATCCCCCAATAATAACCAACGATACACTCGAGAGTGATTATCCATCTAGGATTAACGGTAAGTGAAAAGCCTTGACATTGACAAGGTCACTAACTGTACCCAGACATTTAACTTGAATAGGAGGCGCTACGCTCCGTCGAGACTAGTTGAATCCCAAGTGTCGATTACTTTCTGCTCTCCCGCAGCGGTCGGCACGATAGTTTCATTAACAAGCTGTTATTCAATCACTAGCCGAGAAACTTTTATTCACAACGTAAAAACCGGTTTAAGCTGTTTTTATCAATCTACTCACATGTAGAATAAGAAAATAAAAAACCTATTCCAACCAACTACCAGTAGCCAAAATTTTATGCAGTCATGCCAGTTAAGATCTTTGTATCTCTATGGGAAGGCGTTTATTTCACCGACATTCTCCGACAATATTTCCCAACATTATTTCGAATTTATCCTTTTTCGGTAGTTGATCGTCGGTGAAATGTACTGTTGTCGTGAAATGAACGGATCCATCTTTCGATTTCCCGGATCGCTTGGGAGGACAAAATAATATACCAATGGTTGATGGTGTTCCCTTAGCAAGATCAGATTTGGATAAAAAATTCATTCGATATTTTATTGCCCAAACCACCGGCTACATTTTCCCCATTTCTTTTGCTGCCGACAAACCATATTAGAGACTTGTAAGTATTTAATATTAGAATTGAATAGGAAAGCCATTCACTCGACAATTTGTGGAGCAGATGGTCAACCAACATCAAATTTGTTTATTTATACGGTTTGGACAACATAATGAAATACAAAATAACGTTGAAGAAAGTATTTCTAAATTTCTTTGAGTGATTTCAATGCATAGTAAGCGGAATTGGTCTCCACTGAATATAATCACCAAATTGTGTTAAATCGTTTACTCAAATTGTATGAACAATACCAACAATCCTTAATAATTTCTAAAGTCGTGACAATACCGGTTCCAATCTAATTTGTCGCACCATAACAATAGTCTTAGCAAGATCAAATTTGATATACCGGTATGTTATTTCATAAATTAATATCATCTATGATGTTGTTTAAATTTGCAATATCTAATATTTTAACTTAGAAACATAGTATTACCATTGTGTCCGAGAATTTGTCAACCGCGGCCTATACTGTTTAATGTCATCTACGAATTTTCGAACTCTATTAAAATTTCTCTCTGCGCTTTTAACGTGATTATAATTCTATGTTATTCGACTATGATGCATTTAGCTTCCGTGAGGTAATATTGTAGCTCTATATAAAGTTTGACCTTACAATGTATTTCTCCTCGCGTAAATTTAATATCTACTTTACAATTGGTCGGTCTGGCCTTTCAAGTCTTCTTGTTTATTGAAACATACATTTTGTGTATGGCTGTACTTTTTTTGCGTAACTAATAGCATTTAATTTTAAAAAGCAGAATACCTTTGCGTGTTTATTGTTGCCGTATGAGAGTAGGTAAATTTACTTTTTAGATAATACAATCGATCTTTGCAATAGTTTTTAGCAAGAACCATGATTGACCGCTAATAATGTATTTACGTATACCAATTTCATTTACTCACAAATATGCACGTATAGTTTCTGTTATCAAATTCATAATGGTGAACACAGCACGTGTTATTATTATACTCCAGCATTTCTTTGTGCGTCATGACTTAAAACAAATATTCGCCGACGTGATTGTACACAGATTGCATGAATTATATTTTACGTATCGTTCGCTAATCAAGTTGATGATCCTATCAAGTACCCTTTACTGTGAAAAAGGGGGGAGTTGCTTATTCTAAAATTTAAGCATCATAAATTAATAATGAAGTTCCATGCAGAAATAAAATCCTGCATACTCATGCAATTATTTTTTATCACTTAAAACGTCCGTAAATCCGACATCTTTATTTGAATAGTAGAATAAGACAGTTACAGTTACAGTTACAGTATGTGTATTTGCATATAACATCTCATCGTTGAGGAAGATGAGTTATTAAACGAAAACGCTTTAACTAGTTGACGGTGTCAATACTAGTTTGACCGCATATATCAATACAGTTTATCACAAATTTAAGTAGCTGTGAGTGGTTGCACGTCTAATGTTACCATATCAGGTAAAGCGTATCTTTCAAAACAGTAACATACTGGTAGTGTTTTTAGCAGAATCTGTTTTATTCTACGCAGGCTAAAGTTTAATAACCCATGAATTAATCGTGCTTGGTGTTAAAATTACAAAGAAAAATGACGCATTTATATCGTCTGTCCGATATTTTAATGGACGTGTTGAAGTGTCTGACAATAATCTCCAAAGATAGTTTTACTAAGTTTATATAAACTTGTTTCTATGTAAAACGAAATTTTATCCTATCGGCTGCTTGTGACAAACGTATACTAACTATCCAATTATAATCATCCATAGTCTTTTGTACTGGCCAATACAAGCGTAAGAATAAAAATCGATAATTTAGGGCAGATTGATGGAATCTATTAGCACATATTACTTATGTAGTTTTAGCCTTTCGATTAGTCAAAGAACTAAAATTGGGATTGAGGAAGAAATCTTCGATGAGTAGTCATACTAAAATAAAGAACTAATTATTCGCGCAAAAAAACTTTATAGCGGAGGTTCTAATACGTAACACAAAGTTCGCTGATATATCAGGATGACAAATGTTACACAGACTACCGATATTTAAAAACTAAAAGCCTTATCACTCACTCGCCATCACTTTTAATAATGAATAACACCGTCGACTTGTCCTCAGTTCTTGCCGCTGACTATGAGAGACTGTATGAAAGTGGCAAATATACAGATATTTCAATCCATACTGGAAAGGAGCCAAATAGTAAAATCTTTTTCGCCCATACATTGGTACTATGTACAAGAAGCAAATTTCTCGAGAACAGCTTAACTGGAAATACAGAGACATCTGGAGAGGTTCAAAAAGCAGCCATAACGTTTGAAGATGTGACTCCTGACGTTTTCGAAATATTGCTCAGGTAAATCTCATAAACTGCCACAAAGATGTATATATATTATTGCACAGTCCAGTCTGAATACATTACAATTTAATGATTATAGGTATATCTACACTGGACAAATGTCCTATGATTCCTGCAAGGATATGGGTTGGTTCAACATTTTGGATGGAGCTAGCAAGTTTGAGTTACTTGATCTTTTTACTGTAATTGAAACTTACTTGATTGATAAACAAAGTGAATGGATTCAACAGAATATTCTTACAGTCCACAAGTATGCTGCATCAAAAGCCTCTTTGAACAAACTTCTTGACTATTGCAATCAAATTATGGCTTCTAATCCAGAGACTATCTTTAAATCAAATGATTTTTCAACCTTACCAAAGGAGACATTGATTACTCTACTCAAAAATGATGAGCTAAACATGAATGAAGATGATGTTTGGGTTTCAGTTGTTGAATGGGGTACTAAACAAGTGCCTAAACTAGAACTTGGAACTGATCCTAGTGATTGGCCATCTAATGACACCAACACAATTAAAGATATCATTGCAGATTGTATACCACATGTAAGATTTTGCAGCA